TGGCTGTGACTGGTCCGCCGGTGGACACAGCAACGGAGTAGTACCTGCCACAGGGAAGCCTGTAGCACCTGGCGGAAGACCGAGAAGGTGGCGAAGAGCACCAGTAGCTCCCGTACCTCCAACACGAGCAGCTCCTCCAGTACCCCCAGTAACACCTCCAGCACCAGTAGCACCAGCACCTCCAGCACCACGAGCTCCAACAGCGCCAGCACCTCAAGCACCAGTAGTACCTCCAGCACCTCCAGTGCCTCCAGCTCCAGTAGCACCTCCTGCACCTCCAGCACCAGTAGTACCACCTGCTCCGGCAGCTCCAGCACCTCCAGTACGAGCACCTCCGGGACCAGTAGCTCCAGCACCTCCAGTACCTCCAGCTCCAACGCCTCCAGCACCAGTAGCACCATCACCTCCAGGGTCAGCAGCTCCCGCAGCTCCAGCACCAGTAGCACCAGCACCTCCAGTGCCAGTAGCTCCAGCACCTCCAGTAACAGTAGTACCTCCAGCACCAGCAGCTCCAGTACCTCCAGCTCCAGTACCTCCAGCACCGGCAGCACCTCCAGTACTAGCAGCTCCAGTACTTCCAGCACCAGCAGCAGCTCCATCACCCCCAGCACCAGCAGCTCCAGTACCTCCTGCACCAGCATCACCTCTAGTACCTCCAGTAGTACCTCCAGCACCTCCAGCACCAGCAGCACCTCCTGGACTAGTAGCTCCAGCACCAGCAGGACCATACCCTCCACCACCAGGACTGCCTCGCAGAAAGACCCACGCACGAATCGCCTGCGGCGAGAGCGTCTCAAGTAGAGCAGGCTGCGGTGGCTGTCCAGCTCCAGTACCTCCAGTATTGGTAGCTCTAGCACCTCCAGCTCCAGAAGCACCTCTAGTACCTCCAGCTCCAGCACCTCCAGCGCCAGCAGCAGCTCCAGTACCTCCATCTCCAGGACCTCCAGAAGGACTCGCAGCACCCCCAGAGTCAGCACCCGAAGTCTCAGCACCCCCAGAGTCAGCACCCAAAGTCGCAGTACCCTCAGTCCCAGTTCCAGTGTCCACAGCAGTAGGCTGTAGAGACGGCAAAGACGGCAGAGGTGGGAACCCGGGGGGGGGGGTAGCCAGACGAGGAGAGCGGGCACCCCCAGACTCACCACCCCCAGTCCCATCTCCAGTTGTCTCAGCTCCAGAGTCCACAGCAGCAGGCTGCGGAGGCGGCGAAGACGGCCGTGGCGGGAAACCCGGGGGGGTCGCTAAGCGAGGAGAGCGGCGAGTAGTCGCCGTGTCGTCGGCGACGGCGTCACCCCCCTCAGGTGAGTCAGAGGAGTCAGAAGAGATCTCAACTGGCTCATCCAAGGGGGGTGGGTCTACCTGGGACACACCTGAGGGAGCAGGACCCTGTGGGGGGAGGGGGTCTACCGGGGGGGGGACTGGTACCAGGAAGAGGGGTGCAAGGGGGACCGGGTGGGACGCGTGCGGGTGAAGTCGGTAATAACAGACTGACTCGTCAAAGGTGACGTCCTGAGAGGACAGAACACGACGCGAGGCAGGGTGGTAGAACTGCCAAGGCGGGGCGTCGGTGGGGAAGCCGAGGAAGACACAGCGGAGAGTGCGAGGAGAGAGCTTGCTCGCTTTGGTATCGCGAACAAGGGAGAGCGCGCCCCAGACCCGAAACGACGACGCATCACCAGGCTGTCCCGTCTAACGGAGTGTGGGCGAGGTCTCTGGAGCAGAGACACGGGGCCAGAGGTTGAGCTGATGCGCAACGTATCGGACCGCAAACGGCCACAGGAAATGGGGAGCAGCCGCATGGATCATGGAGGTACGAGCAACCTCCATGATCAGGCCAATGCGACGCTCAGCGATCCCATTTTGCTGCGGAGAGGCCGAAAGCGTGAACGACTGGGCGATGCCCTCATCCTGGTAGAACGTCTCAAGGACGCCAGAAGAGAACTCACCACCCCTGTCAGAATGCAGACGCAGGACTGGGAAGTCCTGCTGAAAGCGCTCGTGTAGCTGGAGACGAGTAGCACGGATCCAGGGGATCAAAACACCGCTGACGTCCGCCTTGCGACGCAAGGGGAAGACTGTGGTGTAGCGTGTGTAGTCGTCAACAACCAGCAGGAAGTAGCGCTCCTGGTCCGTCCCACCGACGAGGGCCGGGCCCCACACGTCCAGGTGGAGAGTCTGCAGAGGAGCAGTGGTCGGAGGAAACTCGGAGGAGTGAGGAGCGGCGCGCTGCCGCCCCTCGACGCAAGGAAGGCACAGCGGCGCAAGTGAGCGCGGGAGGGGGGGCAGGGTCTCAGGGAGGCCAGAGACCAGAAGCCGGGAGTGCATGCTGCGCAGACGCTGCAGGGAGGGGTGACCAAGACGGTGGTGCCAGCGCTGAGTCTCGTGCGTGAGTACTCTGCACGAGCAAGACGCAGCTAACTGCCCTGACGCAGACGCTCGACTCGACGCAGCTACCTGACCTGACTCAGCCACCTGTGCAGACGCAGTGGTCAGTGTGTACAGACTAGACCCAGGCTGTCGAGTGAACGTAGCCAGGTGACGGCCAGTCCGGGAGCACGTACAGATCGCCACACGCTGCCCTCCAGGAATAAAGGTATCAACCCAGACATCCTGAATGGCAGCATTGCTCACCAAGTTCGTCGAGAACGTGGGGAGGTGGAGACATGACAAAGAGCCGGAGGGGACTGCTGGACAAGGGAGGACCGTGGAGGCTCTCGCAACCACTGGGCCCCCAGAGGGGTCAGCCAGTGAGACTGGGACAGGTGCTGTGAGTGGTGTGACTATGGTGCAATCACGAAAGAAGCAACGTGACGCGCCTGAGTCAAGCTTGAAAGTGTGCAAGACCTCATCTGAGGCAGGACCTGTGGTAGTAGACGCACTAGCACCTAGAGCGTCGGTAGACGCACGGGCACCTAGAGCTGCAGCAGACTCACTAGCACTTGGAGCGGCAGCAGACTCACTAGCACCTAGAGCAGCAGTCCTAACAGAACGATAACCTCCACCACCAGGACGACCTCGCTGAATTACCCACTCACGAAGCTGCTGAGGGGTGGGGTCGTCCGGAAGAAGCAGTGCCCGCTGCTGTCCACCCCTGGCCGCAGCAACCGCCGCGGAAGTGGCCATGACAGACAGTGACGGTCAGGAGTAGGTCCAGCACCTCCAGCTCCTACAGCGCCAGCAGCACCTCCTGCACTCCTAGCAGCACCTCCACCACTCCCAGTAGCACGAGTAGCAGCAGCAGCAGTAAGAGCAGCAGGGCGGCGCGCGGTCACAGCAGGGCAGTAGTAGGCAGTAGCTCCTAGGGCAGAAGCATCTAGGGCCCCTTTTTTTTTTGTGTGTGTGTGTGTGTGTGTGTTTTTTTTTTTTTTTAATAAACAATTTAATTATATTTAGGGTATAGCAGGGCGCTGGCGTAGGGCAGGGCGCTGGCGCAAGGCAGGGCGCGGGCGCAGGGCAGGGCGCTGGCGCAGGCTGCAGCAGTGCGTGACGCGAGGGGCAGCAGAGCGCGACGCGACGGGCTGCCTTAGGGCGCGACGCGCGGGCTGCAGCAGAGCGCGACGTGCGAGGCAGCAGCGCGCGACTCGTGGGCTGCGTTAGGGCGCGGGCTGCAGGGGCAGGACGCACGGGCTCCAGGGGCGGTGTGCGGGCTCCAGGGGCGACGCGCGGGCTGCAGGGGCCGCGTGGACGGGCTGCAGAGGCGACGCGCGGCTCGGCAGGTCCGCGCGCGAGCTGTAGGGGCGGCGCAAACGGGCCGCAGAGGCGGCGCGCGGGCTCCAGGGGAGACGCGCGGGCTGCAGGGGCCGCGCGGACGGGCTGCAGAGGCGACGCGCGGCTCGGTAGGTCTGCGCGCGGGCTGCAGGGGCAGCGTGAACGGGCTGCAGGGGCAGCGTTAACGGGCTGCAGGGGCGACGTATGGGCTGCAGGAGCGACGTACGGGCTGCAGGGGCAGCGCGCGGGCCACAGGGCAGGCGCGGCTGCAGGGGCAGCACGGTAGCAGGGGCGAGCACGGCTGCAGGGGCAGCACGGTCGTAGGGGCGAGCACGGCTGCAGGGGCAGCGCGGTCGCAGGGGCAGCGCACGGGCTGCAAGGGTCGCGACAGTGAGAGCTAGGGGCGCCAGCGCGCTGGCTACTGTGTAGGGCGTGGCGCTACCACTAGGCGGAACGGTGGGCCCATGTAGGAACGGTTCCTACTCTGATAACATGTCAAGAACAGAACTAGGAATGAATGAGTGAACTAGGCAAGAGGTGAGTACAAGTAGGGGAAACCTAACCCTAAAGTGTTGTACTCACTAAGGAGTGACCCTACTGTACCCTAGAGATACAATTGTAATTTGACACGGGCTACGAGAAGGAGAGGGTGACGGTGATGCTCGGCATCACCGCGGACAGTCGCAAGCTCCCTGCCATGGTTATTTTCAAGCGCAAGACAATCCCGAAGATTCGGGTTCCTGCAGGTGAGTTTCAATCGAATCATGCATCATTTTCTTCCGTGAATGTGGCCGTGTTTTAACCACATCTGTCGTTTCTTGTCCAGGAGTGGTCATCCGTGCACAGGCAATGGGATGGATGGATGCCAAGCTTGTGGATGATTGGGTGAACAACATCCTGCTGCCCTTCGTCAAGCCTCCGCGCGGCATCCAACTGTCCAAGACCCTTCTGGTCCTGGACTCGTACCGGGGCCACCTCACCGATGGCGTGCTCACCAACCTGAAGTGGAACCGGGTAATCCCGGCCATCATCCCCGGGGGCTGCACCCCACTGCTCAGCCCCTTGACGTGAGCGTCAACCGCTCGTTCAAGGCGCTGCTGCGTCAGATGTACAATGACTGGTTTGCCGAGATCGGCATCAACACCTTCACGAAGGCCGGTGAGTTGGTGTGTCGCCGAAGAAAACTTCCTGTGTGCATGTTATATCCTTGTCGCCGTATAAAACTTCCTCTGTGCCCCCCGTGCATCTTTTTCCTCGTGTGTGTCGCAGGGAACCTGAAGAAGCCCCCAGCCGAAATGGTGTTGAAGTGGATTGCGGCCGCATGGGCGGCCGTCCCTGACCATATCATCGAGAAGGCTTTTCTGACCACCGGCATCAGCAACTCCGTCGATGGGAAGCAGGATCACCTCGTCCTGGCCCACATGCGCGATGCGGGCGAGGTGGAGGTGGCACAAGACGTGCACGTCGCCCCTGAGGTGGAGGAGTGGGTTAACCCCTTGTTTGCCACCGCCGCTGATGATGAGGAGGCGGCAAAGGCGGCAGATGCAGAGGATGCCGGGGATCTGCCTGAGGAGGAGGAGGAGGAGGAGGAGGAGGAGGAGGAGGAGGAGGAGGAGGAGGAGGAGGAGGAGGCGGAGGAGGAGGAGGAGGAGGAGGAGGAGGAGGAGAATGAGGCGGAGGAGGAGATGGAGGACGAGGAGGAGGACGAAGAGGAGGAGGGTGGGCTGGAGGAGGACGATGAAGAGTGAGGAGTAGGGGAGTGGTAGAGATGTTTGGGCCAGTACAATAGATTGTATGGTGCAGTAGCCACCCTGACATTGTAATGCCTAGAGCTACGGTACAGACAAGGAACTGAAGAGATGTGTGTAGGTTCAACAGTTTAGTTAACGAAATTGGATACGGTATGTCACTACAAGGAAGGGGGGGGGGGGGGGGGGGGGTCTTATGATGATTAGGGGCCAAGGGGGGGTCCTCACAAAACCTGCCACAATAAGAGACCCCCTACCCATTCAAGAGTCCCGGGGGACCTTCTTACCGGCGGGTCTTATAGTCGGCACTATACGGTACAAGGTCTACTTGTCACTGAGGTTGCTGTCACTGCTGGTGTCATCACTGGTGCTGCCGTCACTGCTGGTGTCATCACTGGTGCCCAGCTTCGCTTGCAGCTCCTTCACCTTGTTCTCCAACTCATGCACCTGTGCCACTGCATTGAAAGGGGAGAGTGGCGAGAGTGGGACACAGAGGAGACAGGAGGAGGCATTGTGAGCATGCCTTGAGGTGTCTATAACACGACTTCATCCCTTTTGTTCAAGCCTCTCAGCCAATGTGACCTGCAGAGTGTTAAGAGAGGCAAAGAGATGAGACATGAAAACAGTGAACGTATATTGGCATGCCCGAAGCACGACTTAACACTCCCATGCAGGTGAGGCACTGCTGCAGTTGAGAAGCGTTGAACAAGACCAGAAGAGCTGTGCACTTGAGGGCCATATCAGAAGACTGCGCATGGCTGTAAATCAGAAGAGGCATGGAGCACAGTGAAGCGCAAGAGTTGCGTGAAGCCCAGCAACCAATCTTACCCCCACGTACAACCCAGATCACCCCTAGATCCCTCACACCATCTTTCTCTCTGCACCCCATCGAGCCCCCCCCCGTCATCTCCAACCCACTCTGCCAACTCCCCTTTCTCTCATCTGAATCAACTCGGGACACACATCTACTTTGTTTAAAAATGGTATCCGCCAACTTACTGAATTTGCTCTTCTCTTTGTGCCGCTCAGCAGCGTTCTTGGCGGTGGTCTCCTCACACTCCGCCATCTTCTCCTTCATCTTCTCTCCCATCGCATGCGTCGCGTCAAACTTATTCTCCGCCTCAAATCGCAGCTTCCTCAGCTTCCCCACATTCTCCTCACACTCCTCCACCTGGGGATTGCAAGACGGAGACAAACGCAGGAGATTGCAAAACGGTTCCTTTAGAAATTCAAACGCAGATGACAACATGGGATGTGCTCTCCGCCTCGAATCGCAGCTTCCTCAACTTCCCCACATTCTCCTCACACTCCTCCACCTGGCAAGGGAGGGAGAGGCACTCATGCATGTGGAGAGAGAGCGATATTTGTGACTGCCCACCTTCTCCTCACACTCCCCCACGCGGTCATCGGCGTGCAGTCATAGGCATTCAATCATAGGCATTCAGCCATTCGCATTCAGCCATACGCATTCAGCCATACGCATTCAGCCATACGCATTCAGCCATAGGCATTCAGCCATACGCATTCAGCCATACGCGCGCAGTTATCGGCACGCGGTTATTGGCACGCAGTAAGAGAGGAGAGGGCGGGGAAGGAGAGAGGGATGGAGTATGCGTGCAGCAGCTTGAACAAAGAAATGGGAAAATCTAGTGTGGCAGCTTAAACTGAAATTGCCGTTTGCACGCGCTCCTCTCCCATGGGGCTGGGCCAGAGGCCTCGCTGGCGCGCAGTGAGAGGTGAGGCAAGGAATAACGCTGGAGACACCTAAAAACATTTTTGAGACTTCTCGAAAATTTCTCACTGGGCCAGAACCCTCGTTGGCGCGCAGTGAGAGGAGAGGCAGGAATACCTCTTGAGAAGTCTCAATAGGCGTGCAGTCAGAGGTGACGCAAGGGGAGGGGACTTGAATGAAGCGAGTGAAGCGCGGGGGAAGGGATGGGGAAAGGTATGCGTATGAATGAGTACTACCGTCTTCCGCGCGTCATCCGCGCGGAGCTGGTCCTCATCGGCGCGCAGAATGCACCCCCCTCAGACCTCCGCCCCCCACGCGCTCGTCACTCTCGCCTCTCACCTGATTTAGAATGTCGTCTCAGTCTTCGGCGCGCAGCCGCACGAGCTGGTGCTTGTCAATCGGCGCGCAGCCGCACGCGGTGCTGCTCGTCAATCGGCGCGCAGCCGCACGCGGTGCTGCTCGTCAACCGACACGCAGCATTCACCCCCTTCGCCGCTCCTCATTCTCGCCGCGCGTCATTCTCACCTTATCAAGGATTGCGTCGCAGTCCTCGGCGCGCAGTGGGGTAACCAACAGGCTGGCGACGAGCAACAGCAGCAGCGGGAGCGCGAGGAGCGCGGACAGGCGAGAGGTTCTCATTTCGTCGGGAGGCGAGGCGACGCTCGCAAGACGCGGAACGCGGACGCGAGAACGAGGAGAGCGAAAATGGGAACGGGGGAGTTCGAGAAGGGAGGGGGAAGTAGGTAACTACAAGCAGCGGTAGCTAGCGACGATTTTCAGAAGGTGCTCCTGCTACCCGTCGCTTCCAGCGCGTAGGAAACTGGCGAGTGGAGACACTTCCCTTTGCAAAGTCCTTCTAGGTACTCGATAACAATACATTCGTTACACAACTGAAGCCCGCGGTAATCTCCAGATGCTGCTTGCACCTGGCGATAATACTGTTTCGTCCTTATCTGGACCAATCCGCGTCGAGGTCGAGGAAAATTCTGGAACTTCAAACAGAGATGGATGGACTAGTAGCCAGCGCACTTCAAACTAATAGTATTGTAACCAGCAGCAAATGTTTCAGCTCTAAACATAAAAAGTGTATGGGCTATCAACATGTGCTCTGAGTACCTTACGGAAATTGTAAACACAAAACCTCCTCCATCCATCCATTGAATCGATTTTGCTACACATTTATTGCGCTCTTCGTTTGGAAATAATAGTAGCTTGAGATTTCATTATTTCATCCTTTTATTTACAGCAGCTTCATTGTTGGAAATACGAGGGGGTGCATGGTAATGCAGAGAGAGTGACTTCAGGACATGCATAGGGGAGTGCTTGCGCATATTATGGGGGTTCCTTTGGTTACTCAATGCTTGTGACGCCATTACTTGTTGGTCTGATGCCCATGCTATCCCAGATCGAATGGGATACCTATAAAAGCTCAGAAGATCCTCCAGGGGAGGCCAGGGAGCAACCATGCTGCCACTCTGGGTGTTTGCACGACGCTTGGTGCAGCAGTAGGGTGGTTTCCAGCGCGGTCACCATGCGCTGCAAGGCGTCGACATACGCGACTGCTTTGTGGAGCATGTTGGCGGTGTCCCCATGCCCTTGCACAACCAGGCGCAGCTTCTGCAGCCCCTCGCTGATCCTCTCCCGCCTCTGCCTCTCCGCCATGCTCCGCGCCTTGATGCGCCCGCCCACCATCTGCAGGTCCTTGCGCCTGCGGTTGCGCGGCATCCAATCGTCCGCATCATCTGCCGCCCCATTGGCGCCTCTGCGCGTGGGACTTCCGCCAAAACCCCCCATATCATCATCTGAGTTGTCATAGTTCATGCAAGCTGCTGCTTCTGGAGCGGGGGAAGCAGCGGGAGCCGCACCGTTAGCAATGGGCAGGCGAAACGGCATCTGCAGCGGGCCATGATGGGCAAACGTCCTGCCGCCAGCAGGGGTGGCATGTGTGGTAACCACTGGCAGCGCAGCCGCGACGGGAGGCGCGGGAGCGGCGGCAGCAGCGTGTGCGGGGCGCGGCTCGCTGCGGAGGATGACAGCAGCAATCGCACGGCGCAGCTCGCGCGTCACATCCGCCTCGCTTCCGCCCACGACAGTCGCAGCCGTGGAGGGCACCATCTCGATCTCCGCCGCCTTGCGCTTCCGCGACCCTGCTGCCAGCGCTGCGGGTGAGAGGAACTCCCTCTCATCGAGGGATTCCGGTGAGGAAGGCTCGTCGGCAGCTGCGGCGGGTTCGTTGGCGGCGGCGGTGTCGTCCGCTGAGTCCGCGAGAGCCTCCATAAGCGCCGCGAGCAGCTGCTTCCGCGCCGCGCGCTGGGCCGCCGCATTGCTCGCCTTCGCCTCACCATTCTTCCCGCCGCTCCTTCTGCCAGCAGTGTCGTGAGCGGTCCAGGGGAAGGCCACGGCCTGGAGGTTGAGAAAGGAGTCAAATGCAGTGGTCATGTCGCCGGAATCGGGAGATTCTGGGATGGTTTCGAGGTCGAACATGCGCTCGAAAGGAGACTGGTCCATCTCTGCCGGTGCCATTGTCGGGAGCTGATTACTGGGGTCTGGAGAAGTGTTGGAGAGTTGCGTGTGTCTAGGCTGCTTTTAGGGATAAGGTGAGAAGGCGCGTAGTTTATCTGCACGAAATGCACAGACGCGTTCAAGGTTTCCCACAAACCAAGCCCAAACATGTATATTTTGGGAATGCGGATGAGCGCCATGTTAGGCCTGACGTGGCTCCAAGGCTCGGCGGCGCGTCTTGATGCCGCAGGTGCAGGCCCCTGGCCTCCCCGTGAATCGCTTACTAAGGCTTTCCGTTGGCTGCGATAGCCGTCGAATGTCAGAAGACTTGAACTGTGAGATTCCCGATTGATCCTAGGGGGGCTACAGGCATGTTAGCCTGGGGGGTTATGGGCGCACTGACCCGCTACTGAAACAAGCCCTTTTATCCCAATGGTCTAGTGGTTGGGATTCTGACATGGTATCAGAGCGGTCTCGGGTTCGAATCTCGGTGTACGCACATGCAGGCCGTTGCCGCTGTGCCGAGTCCTGGACCTCCCAGTGTGGGGGGGTGTCAGAAGACTTGCACTGTGAGATCCCCGATTGATCCTAGGGGTGTTACAGGCATGTTAGCCTGGGGGGTTATGGGCGCACTGACCCGCTACTGAAACAAGCCCTTTTATCCCAATGGTCTAGTGGTTGGGATTCTGACAGCGAAATCCCAACATGTGATGCTAGCGTGTGCCAGGCCTCCCCAGCAGTCCCGAGTGGATTGTCAACTGGACTGGTGGCGAGTTCGTTGGTTACAACTTCGCTTTCGCTTTTGACGCGGCCTGCTCATGTTGCGCTGCTTGGCATGTCAATAGGGTATCTCCGCCTCAGCCGAAGCTGACATGAAGTGCGCCTGGTCGAAATTTGCTGTCATCGCCAGCACATTCGTACCCCCCCCTCGTTCACCTCTTGCCTTCGAGGGAAGGGATCCCATTTTCACTGTAGCGCTCTAGAGCCAGTAATTTTGCCACGTCGGAAATACCTTGAGCCCCCAAATATAACCGCACCCTTCTATGAGCGAATGCACTTATAATCAGAATACTGCGCGTATATCAAGTATTACATTATAGAGCATGAAAACTCTATTGTCCTATAAGTGCTGTTTAATAAAATTTTGTCGAATGCACAGTAACGAATCATAGCTTACGAACCAATGCGGGCACTGTTCAATTTCACACAGATGACTCCCTACACGTCCAAAATAATATGTTTCTCAGCGGTGCCAAATGACTTACCATGACTACGCGCGTTGGTATGGAATTGATCCCTGTCAACTTGTTCAAGATTCTCGTGTAATACTCTCTATCAAATAGGCTCGATTTAAAACACAATGAATGTTGGATTAGAGTTAAATGTCATATACAATTCAGTAGTTCGATTGTAATAACTCGCTGTTTCTGCCGCTTCGAGGACGCTTTTCGAGCAGAATTTGGTGAGCAGGCCAGGGTCCCTGACTGGTTAGGATTGCTGAGGAAGGGCGTAGATGTATTTTCTCTTGACTGGGACAAGATCTATGCGGGCATGTATACCATTAATGGTGCTGGTGCTAGTGCTGAAGGTGACTATTATTCTTGTGTGCCTAGGTCAATTTGTGTAGTGGATGTGTAGGTGCTTCTGAGACTGCTAGCACAGGTGCACTTCCTGCAGAGGCTTTTCTCACCTTCACGCTGGACTCTGGCGCATCTCGGTGCTTCTTCCGTGATTGCACCACAGTCACACCGCTCCTGGCGCGTGTCCGTGTCACCCTGACCGACCCCTCCTGTGGCCCAGTCATTGCATGCGGCTCCACTGTTCTCCCGTGTCCAGCAGCCCCCTCAGGCTCCCTCACGGGTTTCCACTCCCCCTCGTTCGCTACGAATTTCGTGAGCATCCCTTCAGGATATGATGGTCACCACCACCACTCCTGGGGGCGAGCCCGTGGCGATATGTACGGACACGGAGACTAGAAACCACCTTGCCACATTCATCCGGAGGCCTGGGTCTGGACTGTAAACACTACACACTGATTCTGCTCAGGTGGCTGCGTCAGGTCAGGTAGCTGTATCCTCACGCACCCGTCCCTCCTTTCATGGCACCACCGTCTTATTCACCCCTCCCTTCAGCGTCTCCGTCGCATGCAATCGCGTCTCCTTGTCTCTGGGCTCCCGTAGACCCTGCCCCCGCTCCCGCCGTCGCTTGCACCGCCATGCACTCGCCGCGTCGAGGGGCGGCAGCGCGTCGCTCCGCACTCCTCCTCGTTTCCTCCGACCACTGCTCCTCTGCAGACGTTGCACATGGACGTGTAGGGCCCCACCCTCATCTCTGGGACGCCGTCTCTCGGACGCCCAAGGAGCGCTACTTTCTGCTGGTCGTCGACGACTTCACTCGCTACACCATAGTGTTTCCCTTAGAGCATAGGAGAGATGCCTGTCTTGTTATGATCCATTGGATCCGCGCTGTATGTCGCCAGCTAAGCGCACGGTTCCGGCAGGTCCTCCGGTGCTCCGTCTGCACTCTGACTATGGTGGCGAGTTTGCCTCCGGTCTACTTGAGGACTTTTGTCGTGAGGAGGGCACCATCAGTCGTTCACGATTCCGGCCTCTCCAAAGCAGAATGGGATCGTTGAGAGCCGCATTGGCTTAATCATGGAGGTTTCTCGCACCTCCATGATCCATGCGACAGCTCCCCATTTTTGTGGCCGTTTGCTGTCCGATACGCCGCGCATCGGCTCAACCTTTGGCCCCATGTCTCCCAACCAGAGACCTCACCTACCTTGCTTTGGATGGGGGAGGTTGGCGATGCGTCGACGTTTCGGGTCTGGGGTTCGCTTGCCCTTGTCCGCGATCCTACCGCGGACAAGCTCTTTCCTCGCACTATTCGATGCGTCTTCCTTGGCTTTCCTGTCGACGCACCTGACTGGCAGTTTTACCACCCAGCCACGTGTCATGTCCTTTCCTCCCACGATGTTACTGTTGATGAGTCAGTTTGCTACTACCGTCTCTACCCCCACCGCAGTTCTCCTGTCCCCCCCCCCCCGCCCCTCTTCCTGGTTCCAGGTTCCCCCCCGGTAGACCCCCTCCCTCCACCCCCCCCCCCCCCCCCCCCTCCGCGTCCTACTCCCTCAGGTGTGTCTCATGTCTCACCACCCCCCTTGGTTGAGCCCTTGGAGGTCTCCTCAGACACCTCTGCCCCGATTGAGGGGGGTGACCCTGCTGCTAACGACACATCGGCCTTTCGCCATCCACCGCGCTTGGAGACCCCTCCTGGTTTTCCGCCTCGGCCGTCTTCACCTACTATGCAGCCTGTCGCTGTGGACCCCAGTGCAGTTGGGGGTGGTGACTCTGGAGGTGCGGGCTCTGAGGGTGCTGGTTCCGGGGGTGTTGGTTCAGGTGGTGCTGGTTCTGGGGGTTCTGACCGGCAGGGTACTGTCTCAGGGGGTGCTGAGCTTCCTCGTGTTGGTGGAGTCGAGGGTCCTGCTGCTGGAGGTTCTGAGGGTGCGTTGCAGCCACTACCGCGGAGGCCTTTGTTCTAGGAGCAGCAGTCGTCGCTGCCACTACCTAGGTCCGTTGCTGGAGGATTTGGAGGTGCGGGAGCTGGAGGTACTGGAGCTGGTGGTGCTGGAGGTTCTGGTGCTGGAGGTACTGGAGCTGGAGGTGCTGGAGGTTCTAGTGCTGGAGGTTCTGGAGCTGGAGGTGCTGGGGGTCCTGGTGCTAGAGGTACTGGAGCTGGAGGTCCTGAAGGCTCTAGTGCTGGAGGTACTGGAGCTAGTGGTGCTGGAGGTTCTGGTGCTGGAGGTTATGGAGCTGGAGGTGTTGGGGGTTCTGGTGCTGGAGGATATGGAGCTGGTGCTAGTACTGGAGGAGCTAGTTCTCGGGGTGCAGCGCAGCCGCTGCAGCGGCGAAAGTTGTTCTCGGAGCAGCCACAATCGTCGCTTCACCACCTTCTCAGTTTTCCGCCTGCCTCTGCGGGGCCGCCTACCACTGGTTCTCCTCCTCCTATACTGTTTTCGCCGTCTGACCTGTCTCAGACACATTTACCGCCTGACTCCCCACTGCCTGTTCCTCCTCGTTACGCTCTGTTGACAGACTCTCTGACTGAGCGTCGAGAGCATGCGTCTCGTCCTACCTCACCTGTTGCTCGTACTCTTCATGCTCGCCGTGTTAGTCCTCCTCCTGTTCCTAGCACTCACAATATGAAATGATAAGAGAATTCCAAAAGGACGAGGGCTATATTGTGAGTGGAAGCGTACCTCGCTCTAAGCATGGTGAAATCATAAGAGAACACCAAAATAAAGGCCAGAGCAAGCTCTAGCCTACTCCAACACACCCCCAGGCTAGGTGAAGCTCTGGAACAAAACACCTAGCGAATCGGAACACCCCCAGAAGTGGCCACCTTGCAAAGACGTAAGAAGCCAGACTGCACCAGCTCGCGCACGAAGAAGTAGCGGACCTTTATGTGTTTGCTGCAGGCTTGATAGACAGGATTTTCAGTGAGATGAATCATGCTCGCACTGTCACAGGAGAGCGTCACAGAGGGCTGAGAGTGACCAAGCTCATCAAGGAGAAAGGAGAGCCAGCGAGCCTCCTGGGCTGCCAATGTCCTTGCGTACAACTCAGCCTCACAGGTGGAAAGGCATACAGAGGATGAGCGAGTAAAGCGCCAGCTGATGAGACCACTGCCAAGAGTAAAACCATAACCCCGAGAGGAGCGGCGATCAGGGCAAGAATCAGCGTAGGAGGAATCACTGTAACCGGAAAGAACAAGGGGAGAAGAGCCACCAAGAGTGAGCGCAAGATCAGAGGTAGCGCGGAGATAGTGGAGAACGCGCTTGGCAGCCGCCCAGTGCACGTCAGTGTGGCGACCAAGGCCAACAAAGCGAGAGAGGACACTGAGGGGGTAAGCAAGATCGGGGCGAGTGCACATCATAGCATACATGAGTGACCCAACGAGTTCAGGATAGGGTCGCAGTTCTGAGGAGGGAGCGGGAACGGCAGGGGCAGTAAGCTGATGAT